TCATCTCCAGATCATAAAGTTCACTAGATCCCGATAAATAACAAGAGTGTGATGAATATTTTATCCAAAAAAGCTTTCGGATTGATGGGTCTAGAAGCATCTTAACTCCAACCGACCACTACACCACTAATGGGTGAAGAAAAAGGATGGGTACCGTAGAAAGAAATGTGTAGGTCTTTGTCAAGCTAGGAACACCTCCCTAAGAGATCACTATTTTGCCAACATTTGCAATCGTAGAAATGCAACTAGTGTACAACACCATCTTTGCAAGACTTTTATTGTATAAAATAGAGGAAGTAGCATGCATAAAATACTTGTCTTTGAAATTATGCACTCTAAAAAGAATCGCCACTATTTGGAACAACCACCTAGGTGGAACACTATCTATGAAATTCAAAATCAAGATCAACTCTCCCCATAGCCCTAAATTTAGGATCCTAATGGATGTACAAAATCAACTATGATGATGTTGAGTTTTATTTTTGCAACCGAATACCTACAATATTGATCAAAATATTTGCTTATGCATGCACCTTCATAGCCGCAACCATGCCTTATAATAGACAACGAGCTAGACTACTAACGAGAGGAAAGGCCATGACTATATCTTTAAAGGGACGAGATAGTTGAAACCTAATGATAGAGTCTACAATCATATCTCTTTAAAGACGGATAACTATACCCTCATAAAAACCACGACCACATCCCACGAGGGGTGAAAAGCTAAATGCTATGAAAAATTCACGATCATATCTCTAAAAGGACGGACAATCGAGTCCTATAGGAAGTATTCATGACCATACCTTTTAAGGACAAATAGCCAAACTCCAAAAGAAACTCTAAGAATGCATCCCTCAGTAGAGTGGACATATAAGTATAGGATAGACTCATAAGTCTCATCCAAGTATGTCCTAATAGAAATGGCTCATAAACACACAACGCTAAATCCAGCGAGTCTAACTCAAGCCTATAAGCCATAACTTAAGTCAATAACCAATCGGACGAGCCCAAGGTCTCCAAAAGACGACTACCTCCTTCAAGGCGTACCGCCCTTCAATGCGGTCCAAGTCAAAAAAGAAAAACACCACCTTCCTCCGTTATCATTAAAGGCAAAGCATTCAATGAACATTCTCTAATGATGATACTAATTAAATCACTATCAATCATGATAGCAATAATACCGTCACTTATTAAATACATCGACGAGTAGAGCACCATCATTCGTTGGCTCAACTACTAGCGTCAAAAGTAAAGACCATTCTTATCTTTCTCATCATGCAAGTTGCACCCATGATTGTATATATAAGGCTCAAACCATTAAAAAATAAGAAGTTCTGAAAAATATTCAAAACAAGTTTTATTTCCTAAACTACTTCCTCTCATATGCTAACTATCTACCTACAATCAAATACTTCCTCCGAAAGAGCATTTTTAGACCAATTTGTCATCTACTGACCACTTATTTGATCATTAAAGGGTTGCTCATCTAATAAGAGGGACTTATTTTATAGATATCTAGTACAAAAAATCATTAAACATTCTTAATGAGTTTCAAACCATCTTCGCTGCTTACGTGAATAATGTTTATATATATATATATATAAAGAATTAGTCAATGGGGCGTTCTAGGTGAAACAATTATCATATTATTCTGGAAACGAGGACGAGACATACCCAAGACCAATCCTTTCCTTTCGTCTTTGTTATAAAGCACCTGGCCAAGATAATTGTTTTCGGGTTTGGCATAGCCTAGTCTTGATTTCTTGGTATGGGTTCTCTTTTGCAGCTGGCTCCTTCTGAGTGTTCCTGGGTGCAAAATTTTGTAATTTAAACTCGAGACCTATTAATTCATTTTAACCAGCAAGTAACCTATTTGATAAATAACCAGCAAATTATCTTATTGGTTGTAATTATTTTGTTATGAAACAAAACAAATGAACGCATGTTTTGCATTTCACAAATTCAATTACATAATTCATTTATTGGAAAAAAAAAAACTAATTATTAAAAGAGAATATCACCCGGCCGTTAAATAAGTTATAATCAAGTTGAGACTAGGTAACCAAAAATCACTTACAATCAAGTGAGACTAGGTAACCACTAGAAGGTCCCAAATCTAAAACGAAAAGTGCCACTTAATCCACAAAGAGTCATATAAGTTACTGAAACAAACTGCCTATATATGTATTTTCCACGAAAAGGAGCATGTCCCCGGCTCTATCTGATCCAGAAACGATGCCAATGATTTTCTCACTTGAATTAAAACCATCCAAATGTTCTTCAAGTGTTTCCATTAACAAATCCAACCAATCAATTCACATGATCGCCTTTTTCTATTTAAGAATTCTTCTCAAGTTAGAACAGTCAACTAAACAACTATATGCAGACAAAATCTCACAAATCCATTAAACTAATATCAATTTGAAGATAGTATAAACAATAGTAATAAAGAATGGTGGTAACGAGGCTTTCTTCGGCAACCGCGGCGCACCACCTGGGACCTCATTACATTATACCTGAGTCGGTCCCGACAATAGTCCTAATTGAACCAGAACCAACCATCTAGTCTTGTTTTGCCCTAAAGTGAGTCAGCCGCCCAATTAACATAAAAGTATGCTCAAAATTAATGTCCACGTGTGGGAACTTTACTGGTACCCTTAAAAAGTTCATTGCACAGCACCACCTGGGATGCTTTTGTCTTCACTGACAATTGGGTCCCTGCCACGCGGCAAATATTACTTGTCATATTGATGGAAATACAAGTGGATGAGCGGATGAGAACGAGTTACAGATCAGACTGGGGGAAGACCCTTCTGATTCTCCAAGAGCCGTTTATTATATTTCCGGCCTTAACCCCTTCTTCCAAGTTGGTTTATCCATTCCAGGTCAGGTTTTATTTCTTCCTTTTCTTTTCCGAGTCAGGTAATTTTCAGACACGTCAACATAAATGAGCAAAAGGAAAATAAAATATCTGGGATATTCATGTATGTGGAAAGTGACAAGGAAGCGAAAGGGTAAATGGGGAAATATAGTTAATTCGTAGAGCTGATGCGAGTTTCCCACGCGCCTATGGATTAATTTTTTAGCCTTATCTAATCTCATTTTCGTTGGTTAAAAAAGGAAAACGAAAATCTTATCTCACCTTGCTGGAATGTTACCATAAAAGAGGAGGACCTAATTTGGTGCATTTAAATAGTTTTGGATTGGGCTTGCCAATAAAACGGAGATTAGCATTGATTTGGATGCTGAGTTAAAAATGAGAAATTTTATAATACATTAAATGTAATTAGTGATATATACAATAGTTATTTCATAATACACAAAATGTAATTATTAGCATATACAATGTTACTTCATAAATCCATTTTGATGAGAAAGATAGATACATTAAATTACATCGAACCCATAAAAAATAATAAAAAGATTTTCACTTTGAGAAAAAGATAGACACATTATCCGGATCATCAAAAGTGATAAAAAAATTTTCAAGTTCGCTCAATTTTTTTAATTTTTTTCTCCTATTTTTCTTTTTTATTTTTATGTCTATCTCTTTTCTCAAAATGGATCCGTGAAGTGACTATTGTAGATGCCACTAATTACTCTTTGTGTATTATAAAATTTTTTATCAAAAATAAATAAATAATAATTATTATATATATATAGTTCACCGTATGATGGTAATAGTTTGACGATGTTTTTTTTAGTTGCTCTAGGTAGTTAATCTATTGTAAACAAGATTAGATAGTTTAATTTATATATATTAATAAAAAAATGTATTAACTTTAATTCATAAAAATTATAGTTGATGTATGCCATTTGACTGGAAAAAAAAGAACATAAATATTGATGGATGGAACCTCTGGTATTCGTGAATTCCATGAAAACGTATAAATAAAATAATGTATGTTTCTTGAGGTACAATTTTGATTTGAAATTCACGAAGAAGAACACCATTTTAGGAAGAAATCATGTGCTTTCTCCGTGGTTGAACGCGCTTTATAGGTGCATGCAAACAACAATTATTTTGCTTCTGCAGACGAATAGTAGTAATCGATGAAATATGTCATGAAGTAATTAAACTACTATTATAAACTTTAATAAACCACATGCATGGTCATATTTTCTTAGAAAAATTCTAGAATACCCTCCCCTAAATCAGTATCAAACAAAAAAATAATCTAATCTTAAAATAAATAACTTAATACTTTTCATACACAAATCAAATGCTACTAAAATTAAACCGGGTATTCAGAAAAAGTCTCTTCATATATGAAGCTTTTTTTTTTTTTCTGAATTCATTCAATAATTAAATCCTGCTCATTTAATTATGCAGAAATTTTAAGCATTCATTTCATCTATCCAATTTTATAAACCATCATGCATTAAATTGCTTCATCGCCTTCTATTTATTTAGATGTTTCTAATACACCCCCCTCCGATTAAAAAAAAAAAAAAACTTAAATTTACTATTTTCTTTGTATGTGTTAACAAATTGGTGAAAACAATTCATTTTTATGATGAACAAATTTCGATCAGTTGAATACATGCATTTTTAATTTTAATTCAATTAACTTAATTAATAATAAAAAGATTTTTATATAAATAAATGAAAATCATAATGTAAATAATGAGTTTGATAAGGAAAAAAAACGTTTACATAGAAAGCTTTTCCTTACCTTGTGAGGCAAGTGTTCCCTTCTCTCAACTTTACAACATTTTGACTGACGGGACTGGAATTCATCAAATTAATTGAATTAGTGAATGAAAATATTTTAATAATAAACGCACCTCCGAAAGAGCGTGGGTTAAAATTTTTCTCTCATTTCACTGAATATCCTTTCTCCGAGTCACCCGCCTCTCTCATAGCTGTCTATAAAGCCAGGGACCCCCGCCCCCCATCTTTCATATTCAATACACAACACCGGAGAAATTTTTAAAATACAACTCCTGTATCTCATAACACTGCAACCACTGCCATCCCCACCATCTCCGGCGACCTCATGAGCAGCCATTTTCAATCCTCCAATCTAAATTCATTGCCTACACCTGACGTCCAAATCCTCACTTCCAATGGCCTCCGAATCCCGGCTCACACTGGCATTCTGGTACGTCCTTTTTTCTTTTTTCTTTTTTTAATTTCTATCCTATCTTAATTGATTCTCTAATCGAGTAACCTTCGAAAATACCTAAAGCTTCCAAATCTCTTAAACCCCTTTTTGTTATGTAATCAAAACTTTGCATTCCCAGGGGAATAGCCTTCCATCGAATCCATCCCTACTCACAGCCCGTGCCTCTTTGATTATCTAGGCTATTGGCTCCATAAATGTCAACAATCTGCAGATTTTTGTTTGATTTTTAATTTTAATATTCTAAAATTTACCGTTTAGATATTGTTTTTTTTTTTTTTTTTTTTGGTAGGCCTCCGTTTCGCCTGTGATGGAAAATATCATAGACAGGCCTCATAAACACCATAGCTCCGAGATAATCATTCCTATCCCCGGCGTTCCATGCGAGGCCGTTTCTGCTTTCATTCAATTCCTTTACTCCTCAAGGTTAGTCCTGCTTTTTCATTAATTTTTTGAGATTTTCTTTTTTATTACTATTGACCATGTTATTTGTTATTTAATTTAATTTTATATGTTAATCTGAGCCGTTCATTTTTTTAAATCGAAGTCCGTATCAAACGACTACAAATAAAAAGAAGCTCTCGGTCTAGTTTGACGGCTTATCAGATTTTTTACTTTTTTTTCCCCCGAATAAAACCTTGCCGCACATGTTTTCTAAGGCCACTTTGGTATTTTGGTTGGTCACGTAAGCGAAACTAGCGAGGTTTCCTCCGAAATCCGAGGAGGAAATTTGATTAGTTTGAAGTTCAATTAATTGGGGTTCCGTTTCAATGAAATGACGGGAATGCCCCTGGTGCAGGTGTAGTGAGGAGGAGTTGGAGAAGTATGGGATCCATCTTCTGGCATTGTCACACGTTTACTTGATCCCCCAGTTGAAGCACAAATGTTCGAAAGCAGTTGGTCAACGGTTGGCCATTGAGAATGTGGTAGACGTGCTTCAATTGGCTAGGCTCTGTGATTCACCGGATCTTTATCTCAAGTGTATGAAGATGATGGCTAATAGTTTTAAGGCTGTAGAAAAAACAGAAGGGTGGAAGTTCATGCAGGAGAATGACCCTTTTCTTGAGCTTGAGATTCTCCAATTCATTGAAGAAGCTGAATCAGTAAGTTTTGATTGTTAAATTGTAAGAATATAATTAAAGAATAGTGCTAATGACGAACACAATTGACACGATCCAAATTGGACAGTCACGACATGTAATATGGCTCTCTAGCATTTCTTAAATTGTCAAGATACGAGATTTTTGGTTTAAAAAAAAAAAAGGGTGTTAATTATAAAATTATGTGCAGAGGAAGAAGAGAACAAAGAGGCATAGAGAGGAGCAGAGATTGTATATGGAGCTAAGTGAAGCAATGGATTGCTTAGAGCACATATGCACAGAAGGGTGCACAACTGTTGGTCCATGTGACTTGGAACCTAGAGAAAAACGGGATCCGTGTAACAAGTTCTCCATATGTGAAGGTCTTCAGCTTTTGATCAAGCACTTTGCCGAGTGTAAGAATCGGGTTAATGGGAAATGCTCAAGGTGTAAACGGATGTGGCAGCTTTTAAGACTTCACTCATCAATCTGTGACCGAACTGATTCTTGCAGGGTTCCACTTTGCAGGTAACTGATTAAAACCCTCCCTCCCCTTGATTTTGTGTCTCTATTGTTCAGTTAGTAATGAGTTTTGATGGTGCATTATTACAGCTAATTGGTCTTGCATGTTTCTTAATCATCCGTGTTTGATATTTACATGGCCTGAACTTGCTAGTTGCCCATCAGTGGTCCGTGGAAAAATACAATTTTTTTTTTTTTAGTAGGATGTAGAAATTGGGTTTCTGATTGGATTTGCCTTTTTTCGTTTCTTTTGGAATTGGAGGACTTTTTAGAGAGTGATAGTGTGTTGTTTCATTCACAATTCCCCACCGAAGAAAGACAGCCCTTTTAAGGATCTAAAGTTGACTCGCTTTACATAATTGCTTCCTACTGCAATGGTCCAAATGTCTTGCCCTGGATATGACCCCATGCCAGCCTACACCTCTTGCCTCTAATTAGGAATCTTGAGAAAATCTTTCATTTAATTGGACTAGCCAAATGTATTTCCCGCATGATAAATATATATCAATCAATTTTTAATCCATTGCATTTTCACGTACACAAACATCTTTTAGTATTTATTAGTCATGTAGGGTCGGCTTGCGGATTGCTTTTGATTTTTCAAGGCTAATTTTTTTTGCCTCTTGAAGCATAAAACTGGTGGTTGGCTGGTCACAATTGCTTTTAAGCCTTTCTCTATGAACCTTCTAGTTTTTCACTAATTTTATGTGGTCATTCTTTTGTTCTGGATTCTGCATAACAAAAATCTAGGAGAAGATTTATTTATGTCCATTAAATTCAAATCAAATGACTGCTGGTTTAATCGATTTTTTGACGGAGAAGAATGACATCGACCCCACTAATAAGGCCAAGCAAGGCCTGCCTCAATGTGACAGATAAAAAAGATATTTTGAACAGATTTTTTTTAATCTTGATTATGGTTAAGCGGACTAAATCTTTTGGCTGTACCTGGGGATGGCCCAACTGGACTGTTCATGGACTGGGGGAAGGCATAGAGCCATTGATAGTGGACCACTTCTCCCTGCTTTTAGGAGGCAGAGCATCGGGAAATACCATACAGCCAGCAATTTATCCACTTAGGAATAATTGAAGATGATTAAAGTGTTGTACAAAAATGTCTTCAAAATTCTTCATTTTGTTGTGTCTCTTTATAGAGCAATAAGGGATCCATATTTTGGCATGTTGTTCATTTGAAGGATTGCTATTAATGCTAGTGATAACATGGCTTTGCTTTGTCAATTTATTGCAAGACTGTACTAGTCCAGTGCCTAACCTTGCACCATTGCTGTTTGTTTTTTTTTTTTTTTTTGAAACTGTGACAGGCAATTCAAATTGAAAATGCAACTAGAGAAAAAAGGAGGTGACACGCTGTGGAGATTATTGGTGAAGAAGGTTGCGTCTGCCAGGGCCATGTCTTCTCTATCGCTCCCCAAGAGGAAAAGAGAAGAACAAAGGGAGACAATACATGATCATGGTATTAGGAACTTTAGGCTATAAATGAGCAACTCTGCAAGAGACATTATAATTTTCAGTTCCTTTTGTTGATAATGATGAGCTTGTGTCAGGTTTTTGTGGGAAAACAAAATGGTGTCCTGTTTTGATAGTTTAGTCAAGGAGTAGAGCTTGTAACTTGAATGATGTGTTATGCATTGTGTACATGAGGGGAGTGGCAGTAGTTAGAAATGGTTGCTTGTAATTTTAAACCTCATAAGTTATGCAAGCAGGTTTTCTTTGTAGTTTGCCTTGTAATCCTTCAGCCTTCGTTTCTCATCCAAGCAGCCAAAATGATATAATCTGATGTTTATACAAACAAATTATCCAACATTTAACGGAATTTTTTTTCCCGCAAAATACTATTGATGCCATCTCGTTTTACTAATCAGCCGATTACTCTTGATGGCTCAAATTTGTGTTGCTCCATGGAAGCTGATGAGCTCCAGGAGATTGAAGATATGGGTAGTTACAGGAAGGAAATGGGATTTCCAATTAGCAATTACTAGCAAAGCACCCGTGGTCATAAAATCTGTTTTGATTCTTTAATTAATTTAAAATTTTAAGTTAACGGAATAAAAATGAATCAATATTAATTGTAGAAATTTTATAATTTAATATATAGTATTTAATACCTTGTGTGTATTTTATGTTTATATTTTATGATTTTTTTTATTTTAACAATAAAAAAAGCATGCAATTAAATATTTAACAAAAAAAGAAAACATTAGAAGTGTCAAAAAAAGGAGAAAACTAACACTAAAAGATTCTAAATTAATGTATATTGAAAGGTTTTTAGCTAATGAGTCTATACAAAAATCACAACATAACCATTAAATATTGAGAAAAAAATTATTTCGAGTAAATAACAAAAAGGAAAAGCATAAAAAAAAAAAGAAAGAAAAGAAGAAAGAAAGAAACGAAGAAAGTAATGCGTGCTAAAATTTAGATCGGACGCGTGCGGCCCAACCTGAAAAGAAAAAGTCATCTTCCACATCTATTTGAAAAAACAGAATCCGACGACGCATTGTTCACGAGAATTTATGCATTATTGCCTCTGCAACTCTAATTTTTACCTCTAAAAACCTTAGAATCATCATAAAAAATTATTTTAAAATCATTTTTAATCTCAAAACATGTTTTAATCAATATTATAAACTCAAAAAATCCCATTATCTCTCCTCTCTCTAATTTCAGGAACCTTATTTTTTAACACAATGAAGCTTAGAGATCATTCTATACAAACTAAAATCAAAATGATTTCATATTTGTAAAAAATCAAACACCAAGGATAAAAACGATTCTATATTTATAAAGAACCACTTATTATTATTATTATTGACAAAGTGATGTGTTTTGAGCTAAAAACAAAAAAAAAGCCCAAAAGAGCCCCGACACAGACGTATTTGTTATTAGATTTTAGCTATATTGAAACACCATTGGGTTTTAGCTTATTAAAATTCTTTGTAATAGCAGAGTCCTGTACTTTGTCTATTTGGGGAACATAGAAGAAACTTAATTCAATGGCCAGGACCCCTTTCTGACTACGTTGCACTTTTCTTTTTCCTTTTTGGAGTGATGTTCCTCTGCTAATTTAGATGTGGTGATTCACTAGGGAAACATGCAATCATAACATAAGCTTTAGATCTTTTACAAGAAAGAAATAAAATAAAGGGAATGCCTGCTTAGCTCTTCAGAATCATTGCAGGCAGGATATTGTGAGTAACTTTGTTCCCCACTCCATGCCCAAAAGGAGATGATATAACCACAAGATGACAGTTTATTGCTAAGCAAGTATCAATTTATAAGATAAGTTCATGATTTGATTCTTATGCCTAATATTTTTAAAAATTTATTCTTAAAATATATAAAATTATACATTTAGGGAGGAATTAGTCTCGAAATACATAAAAACTATATCAAAATATCTTTAGTGTTAAATAAATAAATAAAATAGAAATGATATAGTCCCGTGCAAACATCAATCTTAGAATGAATGTTTGCGACATCATAGTAAAGCTTTTTTATTCGAAAATGAAAAATATTTTCAAAATAACCTATGTATCAACTAAAATAAAATCTTTTATTGAGACACGGGTTTCTAAATTTGATTGTAGAACATTAATGTTCTTCCATATAATTCTAGCCAATAAGATATTTTTAATTGAACCTACCATAATTGTTTTACCAAAAAATTCGGGCATCTATTTTTTTTTTTTTTTTCATGTTGTCATCCCTACTCGCGGGGACTCCGGACTAGCTTACAATTACGCATGAAATTGTTTGTCAATCAAGTCTCCACGAATACTAAAAATAGAAGAATCTACATCTGCAGTATATGAATTTTCTGATTATTTATAAGGTTTTCAATAATTAATAGATATCAACAAAAGAAAAGAAATCCAACAATGGTTTATACAAGTGAAGATGAGATGTTCGGGCTGTAGTATTAACGAAGCACTGGTGCAACAAGAAATCCACCTAGGGATCTACTAGGATTTATCATCATTGCATGGATTACGATGACCTTTTGCAGTTTAATGGCACTTTCCTGGTGTATTGGGCCAAGAAACAACATTATAAGAGGGCCCTATAACATCCTGAATTAAGGATTTGTAGGCAGAAAGTGCCTTTTTATTTATTTCATGGCAAAGAGTTTGTCAGGGTGAATGTATGAGAGGACGCAACCAGCAGTCCATTATCAGGTATTCAATCGTTATTGATTCCGGAAACATCGTTCCTATTGGGAACTTTATACGATTGGGGAAATCTCTATCCCTATACTGCAGTATGTAACATAGTTTCTGTTTTGGTTCCAAGAGAGGAAAAAAAAAGAGTTGCGCTTCTTCTCCATTTGGACGGTTATATTCTCCATGTATGTAAGTCTCAAATCGGTCTCCTTAGACGGTGTGATGCCTTCTAGGAACTTTTGCGTACTGGTCATCTTCTGAAATAGGATAAATTATTGATATCATCCAAAAATTTAGAGATTTAATAGAATTTCTGAATTGTATCTAGATTACTTTTGTTATTTATAACGCAAGGGCTAATAGGATTTGCCAAACATTCAACATGCTCAATCAAAGAGATGGACTCTCTCTATATACCTGGATGGATTAACACCGACACCACTCGTCTCGACATACTCGTAGTATTCCAATAAATGCTTATCGTAGTTGAAGTCAAGTCTTTGAAGAACAAACTCAACGCAGTAAATGCTTGTCAAACGTTTCCCAATAAGAGCTCCTAAAATACAATAGGTACTAACTTCTGCATAAACACATGATAGTCATGACTTTTTATCCCATACAATTTGTGTTTGTTCATATCCACACATCTAACAATGCTTGACACATATTCGTCTAGAAACTTGAGTTGTATAATCCATTCAAGTAATATTGTTTTTTGTTGTTTGTATGGCATAAAACTTGCTTTACAATATTTTCCCGAGGCTTCATCCCTTTCTAATTATGGCCTTTGATAAAAAAATTTCAAGTCTTTCCTAGAATTTGCAATGTCTTTAGTTTTTCTCAACACAATCATTATTGTGTTAAACGTATTGTCGAACATTTTTTTTTTTTCAATATGCATAACACCCAAATTATGCCGAATGAGATTAGTATTTCAATATGGAAAATCCCAAAATATATTATGCTTCTTCTAACTAGAAATTTAAGATATTATATTTTTATACTCATATATACTCTTTTTTGTCATCTTCATCAACCCCTAATCTGCAATCTATTAAAAAATCTCTCGCTCTAGACAAGATTGCGAAGGGTTGTCCCTCAAAATATTTTTTGGTAAATGAGTTCTTGTTCCTCGTAAATGGTTGATCTTCATATAGGAACTTGCGATGATTATCAAACCACTAGATCTTTCTTTCATTAGGAAGGGCGAAAGTATCGAATTCTCCATGTGATAAGAACATGTAATTTTCTCCACGGTATTCGACCAAACAACCTCAAATATATAGGGAAGTCACTAATTATCCACATCACTACGATGTGTAATAGAAAATTATGCTTCCAATACATATTGTAGGTCACCATACCCACTTCCCTAAAATGATGCAACTTTATAATCAAATGCTAAAAGAACATATCCAAATTATGCTTCGAGTTTGTTGGTCTCGGAACAATTATTATTAAAAACATATATTCTTCCTTCATGCACATGCATAGTGACAAATTGTAAGGCATCATAATTATCAACTAAGAAGATTATTGAGCACCAGATTGACCGAAAGGTGAAAACCCATCGGTGTAAACTCTCAATCTAACATTTCTTCTCTCTAATCCAAAAGATGTGTTTGATCGAAATGTCGTTATGCAATAGAGTCAAAGTAATGATGCATGACTCCCGCATTCCCAACCTCATGCTAGACGTGCCACATCATGTGCTTAACTCGTGGCATTTAATACATACAATCTTTGCAAATGAAAATTGAGTGGAAAGTAGTATATTTTTTTGTATGGAACATCTTTTGCTCTTACTAATTCTCGTCTCGGATTTCGATATCGAAAATGTTCACAAAATTCATAAGTAGTTAATTCATTGTCTTCACTTTAATAAATCATACAACCTTTGTTACAATAGTAGATCTTTTCTACGAGTAAATCCATCTTCTTCGCTAACTTTTTAATGTTGTAAAAATCCTCTGTCATACAATTAAGGTTTAGCAATCGAGTAATTACGGATAACTATGAGTGATTTCCACAACAAACCTAATCTCTTTATTTGTCGCTTTCAACATATCATAAAAAGCTCGAGATTCGAATTTTGGCATCTCATCTATGCTTGTACTAATTAAATGATGGACCGACCACATCTATTATCATTATTTGATATGGATTGGAGGGTTTATTGTAACTCCCTTCGCCTTCATAAAAATCTTCCAACACAAAATAACTCTTGGACTCAATTTTCCTATGATGTGTCCATTCATAATTCTAGATAAAAAAAACTATTTCTCACTACATGATATTTAACCATCTCAACCTCTTCAAAATTTTAGGTTTGACACTTATGACGATTGTAAGGACAACTTAAATTTCTCTTGTCCATATATTCGGGATAAGTAACGACAAACACAACAAATTTTTCAACCTCATTCATGAAATTATCATTTAAATACCCAACGATTAACCTAACATCCATCCATACATGATCATACTTCATTAATTTATTTTTGCATTTCCGAGACAACATATAATTATTTAATTAAAAAGTTTCTAAACATCTAACAAAATTTCAATAGAATCTTTCCTATAAATTGGACATTTTTCAATTACTAGATACTCCAAATGATCACGAAACTATATCTAAAATACACAACACATGCAAATATTTTCAATTAACCATGATAACACAAATATCAACTAACAATCAATTTACGCACGTCGAGACCAAGCACTTGCCTTAGATACTCCATTGAAATTAAATATCAAACTTAACCTCCTTGCTCCATCGTAAAGCATTAAACCAACCTTATTTCTCCTTAATTTTTTAGGGCCTCCGGCCTCTTCGATTCAATTCGCTACGGCATATCTTGAAACACTTCAATAATCATCAATAAAATAATTAAATTAACCCCAATTCAATCCTAATTAAATATTAAATAACAAATTACAATATAAATAAAATTAAACATCAATCAATTAATAAAAAATAACCCTAATTCAAATTAACCTTAATTTGAGCCTAATTAAATTTTAAATAACAAACAATTAACAATTTGCAAGATAAATAAAATTAGAAATGAAAAAATTAATCAAAATTAACCGAATTAATTTAAAATTAAATCAAATTAACTTAATTAAATCTAATTCAAAATTAATTAAATTTAAACCTAAATCAAATTAGCTTAATTAATTCTAATTCAAGCCTAATTAAATTTAAAATAAAAAATAATTAATAATTTTCAATATAAATAAAATTAAAAATCAACCAATTAATAAAAACTAACCTAATTAATTTAACTCTAATTCAAATTAACCTAAGTAAATTAACCCTAATTCAAACCTAATTAAATTTAAATAATAATTAATTAACAAATTATCCTAATTAATTTAACTCTAATTCAAATTAACCTAAATAAATTAATCCTAATTCAAATTAACCTAAATAAATTAATCCTAATTCAGATCTAATTAACCAAATTAATTTGACCCTAATAAAAAAATTAACCTAATTAGTTTAAATACTGGTTAATTAATAAATTAACCTAACAAATTAGCAATTAAATATAAATAAAATTAACCACATACCTATGATATGGCATTCACATGTCATAATATGATATGGTCATTAACAAGTTTATATAGTCTATTTCTTTTAAGTAGACCATTCAATACTTCAGTAAGAGGTCACTGAAAACAAAGCTTTTACTGTTTAACATCTTCAATCCTAATCAAAACACCGTCCAATATGAAATCACATTAAAGAAAAGAAAAGAAAAATCTTTACCTTCACATAAAATATGATTTAATAACACTGGAGATACATGTGTTTTAGATTTGTGACAAAAATAATCGAGTTTTGAAATCTGGAACTGGGTCCCGACATTTCAATTTTATGGCAGGCTAATGATGTTTTTAGTCTGTTCATCCAAAATCAACTTCAATTGAATTTGATTGACACATGACAGTTTTTATTGTACATGAATTTAACTATGACCATTATAATTAAGATGTGATGAATTTTCCAACTTTGAATTTAATGGCAATTAGAAATAAGTTAATGATCCAATTGCTCATTTTAAAACCACATACCTATCTTTTTTATAAATTCAAATCATGTAATCTCTGTAGTTATCAGACCCACAAAACTTAAAGAGTCATGTTAAAGAAAAATTCAACTGTTGGAAAGTATTATATATAAAATAGCATCGACATTTCTTTCATTCTTTTTCTTTTTTCTGTTTATCATAATAGGATTGTAATGTTTGAGAGAATGAATATTACTAGTTTAATTAACTTATTTCTTTTGAAGAATGAAATATCATTATAGACTTAAATACCAATGGTTTTCATCAATTCACGGAAACGTTTAATATCCTATGTGGTGTTTTTTTTTTTTTTTTTTAAGTAAGAATCAAATTATGAAAATAAGAATGAAAATTTTATTTTTATTTTTATTTTTAAACATTTGATTGAAAGAAATAGAATAAAAATAAGAATAAAGAGAGAGAATGATATAAAATTAAAAAAGATTTTATTTTAATGAGAGGAGGTGAGAATAAAAATAAAAAAAATAAAAATGATTATTATTATTATTATTATTATCAGAAAAGAAGAAGAAAAGATACTGATCATTTGTACAACAACCACTTCCACCACATTATAAATGTCTCAACCATCAGAGATAGTGATGACTTTTTTAAAAAAATATATAATAATATACAAATATTATTACTTATTACCAACCCCGCTACTTATAATGGTAGTGATATTATTATTTTTTTAAATAAAATATTTTTTTATTATATTTTATTACTGTTATCACTGTGCTATTATCCTTCTTCTCTCTTTTGTTATTACTACTATCGTTACAATCACTCTTATCATTGCTACTATCACTATCTTTAATGAAATTATTTCTTTAATTATTATTTTTATTTTAAAAATAAATATTAAAATTTTATTATTATTTTAAATATATTATTGAAATTAAAATGCCATATGCATTCTTTCACTCTCCTTGGACCTTTTTTTCTTGATATCTTTGTTCCAATTACAAAGAGTAACTTTTTCCAAAAAAAAAAAAAAAAAAAAAAAAGAAGAAGGTAGTCTCAAAATTTGGCTCCGTTCAATGCAACAATTCTCAATTGTATCCCGGACGTATCGTAATTTATCAATTTGGTTCGTCCATTCAAATTGATTAATGTTTTTCATCTAAATTATCTATTATATGCGATAAAATCTTACACGGAATTGACTTTTGAATTGGAAAAAGCGGAGATTGTCCCTACTAAAGCATCTTAGATGCCAAGAAAATTATGTCCGATTTGCTATCTTCTCTTACATCAGAAATGCCAGAAACTTGATTTTGTTTTTACTAAAATGTTTCCATTTTCAATATTAACTGGACTAACATACTTTTATATATTTTTTCTTTTATAAAAACAAAAGTGCTTTATGTTTAGGATCAAAATTTTTAGTATATATATATATATATATATATATATAATTGCATGTTATGTAATTTATTAATAAATAAATAATTTTACTTGATGGTTATAATTAATATAATATGCATATGTTTATAAGCATAATTATTTATAAAATAAAATATTTAAAGTACGTATGCCAAAAAAAAAAAAATCACATTTTTAGCAATTATATTCCTATATTTCAAAAGAACATTTAAGACTCCGCATAATTAAAACTGGATTCCAAAAGTTTCGCTAGGATTGATCCAACTAATTAAATATGAGGTTGGAAACTCAATCCTGAAAAAGTATCCATAAAAGAAAATAATAATAATAATGTCATACAGATAACAATTTTCGTGATTATCAAAATCTTCGTACATGTCCATCCAAATGACCAGGTTCATTCTGGTGATTGGTTTAGAGTGTTGATGCAGTCCCCTACCCCATCATGCCAACGTAATCCATTGCATCATCCCAACCTTTCAACTTGCAAGATCCTCCACAATATTTATGCTCGTTTATTCAAGCGCTAAATACGGAGTCAGTCAACGATAGAAGCAGCAAGAACCAGAAAATGGCGACCAGTGCCACTAATCCTGCTCTGGATCCGGATCTAGACCAACCAGACAACCCGAATCACGAGTTCGCTCAATTTGGAGCTGGATGCTTCTGGGGAGTTGAGCTTGCCTTTCAGAGACTACCTGGGGTGGTAAAAACTGAAGTGGGCTACTCTCAGGGTCACGTCCCTGATCCAACTTACAATCTGGTATGCACCAACACCACCAACCACGTTGAAGTTGTTCGGGTCCAATTTGACCCCGAAGTTTGCCCATATACCAACCTCCTCTCTCTTTTCTGGTCTCGCCATGATCCCACCACCCTCAATCGCCAGGTATTGACTTGCTTGACTTTGCTGGCAAACGGGTTTTAAATTTCCAATGCGTTGATGGTTTTTGTTTGATGTTGCAGGGTGGCGATGTGGGTCCACAGTATAGATCAGGAATATACTACTACAACGAGGCTCAAGCTAAGTTAGCCCAGGAATCAAAGGAAGCTAAGCAGTTGGAATTGAAGGATAAGAAGGTTGTGACAGAAATTCTGCCTGCTAAGAGGTTTTACAGAGCTGAAGATTACCATCAGCAGTATCTGGAAAAAGGTGGAGGTGGAGGTGCTAAACAGTCTGCTGGAAAAGGTTGCAATGACCCTATTAGATGCTATGGTTAAACTGTAGCATCATCTGATGGATAATATAGGAATTGCACTATTAGGGCCAATTTAAATGTAAAATTCACTTTGTTTCAAATTCCATTCCACATTTTAAACTGGTCTTAATAGTTTGATTTCCCTTTACTAGGTTGTTCTGTCCACTAGCATCAATTATCAATAAGCTTATAGTGTAATGTAATCTAAAGACATCCTAGTATCAATGAACTTCCTTGTTTTGTTTCATATATTATGTTTCACTTATGCAGACAGTGTCTTTTGGAAAGATTTATTCATCACTGAGCAGTAAATAGAATTGGAGCTGGTACTTCATAAACAAATGCCTGTATTTATTTAAGAGACCAGAAAGTTTCAAACTTTGATACAGTAAAAAGCAACAGGAACTGACAGAAAATCTGAAATCAATGATATGATTGCATTTTAGAGTTCATCCTTAAGAGAGTCTGTGGCTCTTGTTGGATTAATTGAGGATTTCTTAATGGGATAAGAAGCCTCCATTGCGATACCACCGAGTCCCCTTCTGTCAGAGATGCCACGCTGCATCCTGATATAACCTTTCTCTCCCCATTCAGGCCCCCAGGAATTCCTCACAATCCAGTACTTAGTTCCATCTACTGTTGCTCCATAGCCTACAACTGCAACTCCATGATCGAGCTCTTTTCCACACTCTCCAGTAAATACACCCTGCATTGATATTGATATATAGTTTTTAAGTGTTCAGTTACAACTGCCTACGCATTTCAAATTTCTCTTCATCTTTTCTGGTGGCAATTCCTTCTTTAGATTCACAAGTTTTCAGGAACTTCTCTGAAGTTAATATACCTCTGAGTAGAACTGGAAATCTGAACCTCCAGCGTCTATGGCTATAGATACGGGTTAGTTTGCAACAGCTTTAAGTAATGCATTCTCATCATTATGAGGCACATCCTCATGTCCATCAATAGACACTGCTGGCTGGTTCACCTGCCAAAAAAAAAAAAAAAGTGTCACTTTAAGTTGTAATTTGAGTAATTCCATAAACAAGATTTAGTTGAATGTGAAAGAACACCTTTTTAACATCATAAGATCCATCTTGAGCACGGTAAGGATAATTAGAGTCAGTTGTTATGCCTCCCTCTTTCTTAATGAACTCAAAAGCATAATCCATTAGCCCTCCATTACATCCTTGGTTTTGCCCAGTGTCACAATCCACCAACTCCTGCCCAGACAAAGATATTAACGCATTTGTCATAATATAGTTAATACCTTCAACAGCTACTACCGTCGAAAATGCCCAGCAACTTCCTCTTCCACATTGAAACATTTAAGAATTAAATTGAAAACAATCAAACCAAGTCAGAAGAGCTAAAAAATCCCCCACTTTCTGACAGTTCTACGCCCAAAAGGGAGGTAGCCTTTATTTTTGCTTAATCAAATGACGAATATATGTCCTTTTACTTGTGTTTTTCATGCCTGAACGAACTAGAGAATTAGAAAAATTAAGGTGAATCTATATATTCCTATGAGAAGTGACAAATAAGCTTTACCGCATTGGCCTTGATCCTTAACAGGAGTGACCGCACCTTTCTTCCTCCAATCAATGGAGGCTGGTACTTTGTCTACCTTCTCACACATGAAGCTCCCATTTCACTGTGGTGCTCCGCGAAACATGCTATGATGTTTAACTTTTGAGCTAGCATAAGAAGTCCTAAATTCATGGTTAATCATATATTCATGGTTAGTCATGGTACTTTGTCTACCTTCTCATACATGAAGCTTCCATGTTGTTTCAATTTCAACAATCTTTTGTAGTTTTTAGTATCAGGTTATTTTTTCTGGGCCAATGGGTTGAGAAAGACATGAGAAGGGCAGAAAGTGTTTCTTTTTCTTTTACCTTTTGGCTGCAAATTTCGCTCCTACAAAGTGCTGAAGAAGGTTGGAATGACCCCATCAGCTTCCCTGATTGATATTGGAATAAATGACACAATATGGAGAGAAATTTCAACTTTTTATGATGGAAGAAATGTGAAATTTCAATTGGTTCCATTTTATCTTCATCTCAAATTTCATGTCGTCATGCAGTGCTTATGAATGATGATGGACAGTCAATTTGTCCTGAAACAGCTTGTTGATAGAGAAATCATAAATCATGATTCTTTGCCTGGGATAGGGGGAGGTGCTGTTATCTGGGAGAAAGCAAATGCAATAGTTGACTGCTTTGTTGGGTTCTGTAAAGACAAGGCAAAGAGTCCTGACATTCACTTATATGGTTTAGGACTTGATCGACTAGCTTTCCTTGCTTTGTTTCATGTTCATTAAGCTCTGCAACTGTGATTTTTTTGAAAAAAAAATATTCATCTTCAATAAATAATATTAAAAGATCTTAAGCAATTACATCATGATCAAATTAGGGACATTATTTTTAAGCGGGAAATGGGATAAAGTAGGAAAAACAACAGAGACGGATATCAAATCTGAAACCAGTGATATTGCATGTGTAGTTTAGAGTTCATCCTTGGGGGAAGATCTGGTTCCTGAAGGATTAGTTGAGGACTTCTTGATGGGATAAGAAGCCTCCATTGCAATACCACAGAGTCCCTCTTTGTCAGAGATGCCGCGCTGCATCCTGATATAACCTTTCTCTCCCCATTCAGGTCCCCAGGAATTCCTCACAATCCAGTACTTAGTTCCATCAAGAGTTGTTCCATAGCCCACAACTGCCACTCCATGATCCAGCTCGGTTCCGCACTCTCCAGTAAATACACCCTGCATTTCACATTAAGCGAATAAATATTTTGTTTAAAAAAAGGTAGTAATTTCACAGGCTACTCAAAATGAAGATGCCGATTCATCATCTTGGCAAAGTGGGAATTCTTGGATAGCGGCTAAATTCACAAAGTATTTTAGTATCTTTCTGAAATTTACCTCTGAGTAGAACTGGAAATCTGAACCCCCAGCATCTATGGCTACAGATACTGGTTGGTTTGCAGCAGCTTTCAGTAATGCATCCTCATCGTTTTCAGGAATTTTCTCATAACCATCAATAGACACTGCCGGCTTGTTTGCCTGTAAAAAACAAGAGTTTTACTTTTATGTTATATCGATCATAATTTAGTATTGATTAGTTCATAAATCAAATAGTTCAATGTAACGGTAATATGAAAACCTTTGCAACATCGCAAGTTTTATCTTCAGCTTCATAAGGATAAGAAGACTCTGTTGTTATGCCTCCCTTTTTCTTAATGTACTCAAAAGCATATTCCATTAGTCCTCCATTACATCCTTGGTTTTCTGTAGTGTCACAATCCACCAACTCTTGCTCAGACAAAGATATTAGCTTATTTGTCTTAATATAATTGATACCCTCAACTGCAACGATGGTCGAAAACGCCCAGCAACTTCCTGTACCCCATTGAAAAGGATTTAAGAATAAAATCGCATGTAAGAAAGGATCAAAAGGGATGTAGCCTCTCTTTCTGCTCAATCAAATGTCATGTATGTTCCTTTGTGATGCATGAACGAATTATTTAATTGAAAATAATAAAAGGGAACCTTCATTGTAAGAAATGAAAAGTGAGCCTTACCACATTGACCTTGGTCCTTGACAGCAGTCACAGCACCCTTCTTCCTCCAGTCAACAGATGTTGGGACTGTGTCCACCTTCTCATACATGAAGCTCCCATTTCCTCGCAGTGCCCCACGGAACATCCTATGATGTTTAACCTTTGAGCCAGCATAAAAAGACCTGAATTCATGGTTAGTCATGTCTGCAAACTTGTTCAACTTCAACTTATAGGGCTTATCCATCTTGTTAGTTTTGTGAACATGCATGACATTTTCCTTGAACACATTGAAACGTTTGTGTTTCTCATCAAGACTTGTTGAAACAGTATGGTGGCTCCTCCACTTCTCGTACAAATCCCACAAACTTTCCTCAGATTCCAAATCTTTTTCGTGAAAATCCAAACATTGAGTGATTCCTAAAACCAAAGCTAAAGAAAGAGCAACAAGTAAGAATTTCTTCATCTTCATCTGCTATACCAGGACTCAACTCAACACAAGATGGGGAATAAGGAACTGCTATCGATTGCTTTATATAGAGAAAAATGAAACACTAGTGTGGAAGATATGTTTTTCAAATTGTAGAATAGAACAAAGAATAATTAATGAAGTTACAAGTTTCTTATGGGCATCAACAGTCTATGTATAATAATGGAGAAGGATATATAGATAGAGTTCCATAAAAATGGAGAACAGACTGTGTGTGCATTTGGAGTGATTTCAACTATACAAGCAAGTTCATATATGAGCTTGGTTCACATGTAGCAAAAAGGAAGGATATAAGTTGTTCTTGTGCAGTTAATAACATAAAAAACTTGTGGGCACTGGGCGTTTTACAGAATGATCCTTACATGCAGAACACGCTATCCCAACATATTAATTATGATATGCGAAAGAGAAGGGAGTGACGACTGATTTACTAAAATGGTTGCGTCCATAGAAGCTTTTGAGCCACGATAGTTTTGCAAGTTAGAAGATAAAGTTCCTTGCTAGCAACTGCTTTGGCTTTAACTGAATCCACTCGCATAAATTTTGGAAATGGTTTGGTGGAAAAACTGTAAAGGAATTGAGTGAATTCTGCAAGAAATTCTATTTTCAGACCACGAAACATGAGAAGTGAGAAATCTCTCCATAGTATGGTATATACAGCCACGTTCTTTGCATTTGTGTGCCCACCGGCCACCGCCAAACTTTTCCATAAATTGAGGTTAAAGGATGTTGAATGAAATGTTAATTAATTACCACCAACTTTACCAAGCAATATTTACCCTTTTATCTTTTCCTTCTGCCTTTTTTCTTTCCATTTTTTTTTTTTAAATTCTTGAAGGGTCAATTATCACCAGGTAGTTTGGTGATGTAGTGATAAGGCATAATGAATGGCAAAATCCAAATTCTATAAACTGAAAATGACTAGATTTGTGGTCAAGGTATTGCTTGTAGGACTACTCTAGCGTAGTGTG